GAGTTCAATCCCTGGTTCCCGCCCCCAAAAAAAAAAAAAAAAAAAAAAAAAAAAAAAAACCACAATAAACCAACAGCATTAGCAGCTTCCTTGCTAGACTGTAGAAGATGTAGTGACAAGGACCTCAGTCACTGCTGCACTGTTACAAAATAACAACTGCTATTAGCAGACTCAAAAGAAGGGTTTCTAGAAGAAATGAGTGATGGAATAAAAAAACTCATTAATAGAATGGTATATAGCTCATACAATGTATATAAAAAGATGGATAAGGGTCCCTTAAACTCTTAGGATTGCTTCTTTTCCATTGATCAGTGAAGACTGTAAGTTAGTTCCTTCCCTGCTATCAGATAAAAGGGTGACTTCAGAGTTGGTCCCTTCTAGGCCACGACACTTTGTCTACAGAAGATGCAAAATCCTCCCTCCTCATTCCTTTTGCCAAAGTATCAGGAGAATGGGTCACCTGGAAACTGACTAACAATTTAAACAGAATCCTCCACAAAGGGCAACAGTTCAATATGATTCTGAAACTGAGTTTTTAGCCCGCTCTGTACACAAAACAACTCTACATAATGATTTCATTTGGAAATTTAAGGTTAAATCTCACAAACATTCTTATCAATGATCACTACCAAATATACCACAGTGAAAGGAAGCTTTATAAATCAATTAGTATTAAACTGAAAAGACTAACTTATATACATAGAAAACCAAATGACTGGAATCTGACCTGTGTCTTGATACCGCAGCTTATGCTCTGCTCACTCATAAAGTGATAAACTCAGAATTTACAAATGTACTGGGAATCACAGTGACTGCCCTGATCGAACATTTTAGGAAGCTGCCAGGTGTGGTGGTGCACACCTGTAATCCCGGCACTTGGAGGCTGAGGCAAGAGGATTGCAGCAAGTTTGAAGCCAACCTGGGTTACATGGTGAGTTCAAGGCCAGTCTGAACTTCACAGCACGATTCTGTCTCAGAAACAAACCAACCAACCTTATGAGAACAGGCATGGCACAACCACGGCCCCTGTACCCTGTTAATTTATGGGAAGGGGAAAATGAAGAGAGCTCTGCAGCCTGACAAGTGTAGGCATGGTTCCTGGGTTTGCCAACCCTCCTGGACTAGGTAAGTACCTTGACTTTGGTGCTAGATAAAACTGACTCTTCTACTAGGGTTTCCTAAGAAGACCCTAAGAACACAACAGAAATGATTAATTCTCTTTCCAAAAAAGAAAGTGTAAAATACTGTTCACTCTGTGATTATTTTACACAGAAAGAAAAATGTTAATTTCTAATCTACTCTAGCTTACTGTGTTAAAAACAAAAATAAAAAAGTTTAATTTTCAAATAAAAGGCATATTTGGAGCCTTGAGACTATTATTAGCTTTAGTGTGAAATAGAACTTCTGGTCCTTTAAGTGAATTAAAGTTAAAATATGATTTAAAAATAGTTCAACTGAACTAAATGTTACTTTATAAGCTAGCGATTTATATTTACAAGACTTGAATGCAATTTTTAAACCTATAAATTACAATACAAAACCTCTCATTTGCTGAAATTGCCATGATCTGAAGTGTCATTTACTTAATGCTTCACAGATGTCGGATGCCAAATTGTTAGACCAATTGGAAAGTATATTTGGTAGGGAAAGTCTTCCAGAACATGTTTGGCTATATTTTACTGACATTTACATGGGACATTATTTGATATGTGTCATTTATTTGTGCCTTATAATCTAGAAATGTAGCTCTCGTTTTCATTTTCTGTATTCAGTATGCTGCTACCATCACCACACAATGGCTTTTCATTCGAAGACACCATTGTTTCTATAATCCCCCAGACCAGGGTCATGTGCTACTCGATCATATTTTTAACTGGACTTTTCATTCACTTTCTTTTTGACCTTTACCCTAAGTGCCTTAGTCATCGCTCAACTGTTGCCGTAAAGATATTTTGCTTCACAATCCAGCTCACCACCACGAGTCTTTGCGTCCTTTAAGAAGCTGGTGTTCAGTGATGGGAAAGAACCAATTCTATTGTTAAATTGTTAGTGTCATGAGATCATGGTCTAGTGAATTTGGCTAACAGAAGCCACAGCAGGAGGTTAAAGACAGAAGACGAAAAGACTATTGATTTGAGTATTTAGAAAAGAAAATCTGGCATTTATAATTAATATTGGGGCTTTTCAAGGTCGTGACTATACTAGTAGAGACCACTGTAGGTTAGTCGCAGTACTAGTACAAACATGACTAAGAAACCCAAAATGAATATTAAAAAAGGGAATTTTTCTGATTCAAGGTAATCTGGATAATTAACATGGCTCTCCATGTATTACTAGTATTGTTTAAAACCCCTTTAAAACTATTAATCACAGAACAAAAAAAAGTGGAAAAATATTTTCATGTCCTACAACGCAGAGATTTTTTCTGTGATAGCTAGAACTATGTCTGTATTAAATGCACTGATTCCTAAAGATCAGGCACAGCTTATTACAACTGTGAGACATAACCTCTTATATATACCACTGAGCAGTTAAATACTTACAGAAACTTAATTGTCGACTTTCACAGAATTCTGCATATTGAGCTGAATCCATTATTCGGGTCTGTCTTTCTGCTCTCTAATAATATGTAGAAAGAAAAAAGAAAGATGTAAAGGAAACAGACTCACAGCTAAAATTTAGTCTTGACATACTGTACCATTTTTCTTTACTTATGTATCATGGTACATAAAATCATGCTAACAGCAATTGTGAACCTGGTTTTTCTAGGAAAGAATTTTAAATATTTCTTGCTTAGTATTGAAACTAAGGCTGAAGGACCTAATTTCTTAGATTGTGCATTTCTGAAGTTTCTTAATTCTACCATTCTTTTAAAGAAAACTGTGAAGGGATAATAGCCAAAGAGAAAAACCATTATTAACTATTATTGCCCAGGGCCAGGGAGATAGCTCAGTAGAATAAGTGCTTGCCTGGTAAGCACAAGGGCCTGAGTTCAATCCCTGGCTCGGAAAAAAACAAAAAAACAAAAAAACAAAAACAAAAACAAACAAACAAAAAAACCCCAACAACCCAACAACAAAAACTATTATTGCCCATCTGCTTTAAAGCAATAATGTGTCTATGTTAAAACAGGAGTCAGCAAATGAAATCCGCGTATTTCCTCCTCATATCATGGTGCCAGAGGTACAAATCCTTATTTTAAATTGCAAAGAAAAAGGTAAACAACACAGATCCTTTAATCTGAATCCAGGTATGATTCACAGTTTGGTATAGTTTTGTTAGTTGGTTTCTGATTCACTACAGCAAATGTTTGCTGCTTCTCTGTCTGACAAGACGTAGGATAATTATAATTCACCCATGGTCTGGTAGGAAAGAATATGACCACTTCCACTTCCTTGCTAAGAGAAGCATTTTGAAATGAAACAGGCTGGTACTTCTTGGAATAAGTTTCTGGCAAGCAAAAGAAAAAATTCTTGAAGATTTAAAATTGTTTTCTGCTTTGGAAGGAATTTCAGCAACTTATCTTTATTATAGTTATTGGGCTACATAAGTACCACTTCTTCTAATGTCTATGGATATTTTTGTATCTTAAAAACTGAAGTTATTCTTTTCTTTTTATTTGATTAGAGTGGAGGAGTGAACTTTCATGCTATGTCAGCTGGTGGAACATAATGCTGTGTCTGCAACTGTTCAATACTGAACAGATAAATGGCGTAGTAGGAGCTCAGGATAAAACTATTAACTGCTATTGTTTCTCCAAAGACTGCTGTTTTTTCCCTTTTCCTTGTCTTTTCTTTTTCTATTTTTTCCTTTCTTTCCGTACTTCCTTCCCTTACATAAAAATTCACAAACCTAAATTTATGTTGAGACATAAATTCAGACTTGTTTATTCTGTAGGTTAAAATATTCTTTTAGAGCATTTATGAGCAAACAAATGCTTAATAAATAGTTTGCACATACATACACATATAGAAAGAGGCAGGCATATACATTGTGTGCATTTTTAGAAATGCCATGTATTCTTTTATTTCCCTTTTTATTTTTTTATTGATTTTATTGAGAAAGAAATAGCAATGAGCAGTTTCAAAACAGGTTAGTAGGACAGTTACAATAATTAATACATTGCATATCATCTTCATAGTAGTTATTCATAGTACAAGATGCAGACATGATATTTGGTCTAAACACTATTAGTTCAAAATTTTCTTCTCATTTAACTAAAAGAAAATAGCTGTATATCTATGCTATTTTACACACACACACACACACACACACACACACACACACACACGTATCCCTAAAAGGGTGTGTCACTGGGTGGATTCTTATATACTTGGAAGGATTTCTGGACATGTAAATCCAGTTTACTTTTGGGCTTCTTTTCTTTTTTTTTTGTGTCTGACAAATAACTGAAGTGTTTACTGATAGAAAACAGAGAGTCAAGAAAAATTTATTTTTTAACAGAATAAATGCATTAGTAATGTATTTATTGAAAAAATCTTTAAGCTTGATAACACTTCTATATGTATTTATGAATGTATATCTGCTGATACGTATATTTGTCCCTGACAGTATCAAGAACCTCTCAGGTTTCAATTTCTAGCTCCTAGAAAAAACATCTGACACATGGCAAATAAACAATGAACATTTTAAACAAATGCCACCATTTATTCTATAGGGTAAATAGTAACAATCACTGTAAGGTAACCAGTCACTCAATTTCCATGTATTCCTACATACCTCCTCTGCCACTGTTTAGCTAAGTGAATGCCACATATACTAAATGGTCCACAGAAAGGACTTAGATCATCTATGGAACAAAACCCAAATGCTCCAAAAGAGATCCAACATTTTCTTCCTTGTGTGTATGCTTATATAGTTGATATTTACCTACAATAAATTATAACAGTTAATTTAGGAAAACGTATTGTTTTGGATTAAGGCCACCAGAGCGGTCAGCTTTAAGTGAAGCATGCAGTTAAAGGCTAAACCTATCATTGGGCTATAGTTGAATGATACTCATGAACATCAGAAGAACCTTAAAACTATTATAACTAACTTCACTCCCTCTTCAGTGCTCATTCTCCTCTGTCCACTAAGCATCTTCATTCTTTTTCAGTTTCTCCTGCATCTAAGTTTGGACCTTTAATTTGGGGAGCATTAGGCAGCTGACCTGAGGGCATGCCTGAGCAGCCATTTATCTGGCACACAGGAGACATGCAAGGTGGCAACTCACCAGTGAGGATTTATGGGCATGCAGAGGAGATGTACAGATAGCTTAAAGTTTATCTTGTTTCAGCCCCTTCATTTTAAAGATAAGGAAGCTGAGGTTCAGAGAGAAGGGATCTGTCAAAAGTGATTGAGTACAAACTGCAGCCCAGGAAGTTCAATTTCTGAGCTAGTCTATTTACATTATAAAAAACTATCTCTAAACTAGTTGTTGCTGTTTTTTTGGGGGGTACTCCAATTGTTGGCTTACCTAACTGGGAACTGGCTAGTGATAATAAGATCATAATCATTGGGCCAGCGAGATAGCTCAGCAGATTAAGCATCTGCCTAGGCAAGCGCAGGGACCGGGGTTCCATCCCCAGCACTACATGCTGCACTGCTCCTGCCTCCGGACACATTGAGCCAGCCACTGAGAATGAGTGCGGTGGTGCACACCTGTAATCCCTGTGCTGGGGAGGCAGAAAACAGGAGGATCACTACAGGTCTGAATTGCATAGTAAGACCCTATACCAAATACATTAAAATATCAATAAATTCCAGAGAAGGTAGGCTGTTTGTAAGCTCAAGACTCATTAAAAAATCAAGACCAAATATTAATAATTGGCCCAATATTAGTAATTTTGGCTTTTTTTTTTTTTTAGTATCCTAATTCCAGTTTCCCATCTGCCTTTATTTAAATCACTCAGCCAGACTCCAACCCATTCTAACTTATACAGTGGCAGTTCTTTTCTGATCCTGGTATGGTAAGAAATCTTTCCAGAAAAACCACAAAGGGAAAAAAGCCTTAAAAATAGTACAGTAACTTGAACAAAATACTAATGATTACTCTGTAAAGGAGCACAACCTTGAGGAGAAACAGTTTTAACAGTTCCATTTACAGCTCAGAATACTGTGGCTTAGAGAAGCTAATGGTAACTTTAATAGCATCCATTTAGGAAAGGGGCAAAGCTAGACAGAAGCAACCCTGGAGTACTTCCTCCAAGTACCACATGGCCCCTCAGAGAAGACTCTCTCCTATTCTTTGTAATGATGGCTCCACTCACTTCCAATTCTGGATTCTGAACCAAGTCTTAGGAGGAAGCTTCAGTACCAAAATGTCACTTTAAAAGGGCATTTTGAAGTTTAGTTGACCATTCCATACATTCATGAAACCAGAATAAAAACATCATCATATTGCTGGAATACAGAAAACACAAATCTCTTAAATAAGAAAATCGTTGAATCAAATGATGCTCTGCTGTGGTTGCAAGTTCAAGACCATCTTTAGATGGGTCAAGTTTTTCCTTAATCAGCCCAGAATGCCCATCCCTGGTTTCATGGATATCAACAACAGTGTTCTTAAACATCCAGAAAGAAAGATACGTAATATATTTATCCTTCTGTGGAGTTAAATCTCACCAGTATTACAATCTAGCAGAGTATAACACAAAGCAAATTATCTCTGAAAAGAATTATCCCTAAAATTTGTCAAACATTCAACAATTTTTTTTTTTTTTTTTGGTGGAACCAGGGATTGAACTCAGGCCCTTGCGCTTGCCAGGCAAGTGCTTATTCCACTGAGCCATCTCCCCGGCCCCCTCAACAATGTTTTAAAGCTTAACTGGAATAGATTTGTAAAGAAGTGTGTAATCAGTCATTTGTATCACTACTGAGAAGTTACAGCTTTTTCTGGTTGTTGTAAAACAAATTTGGAAGCCAGACTTCCATACCAGATGCACTTATGTTCTGGACTCTACCTAAATGAAATCAGGAAAGCAATTATCCCTGTGTACACAATATCCAGTGGAATTGGTTTGTTCAGAATCATGAACACAACATACTCTTGGGACACATTTGTTAAGCTGACTTCCGTTAAGGGAATGTGGCTGTGTCTTTGAAAGCTACTTTCAGCAAAGACAATCATCTCCTGCCCTGAAGATACGTATGAGGCTGAAGGCTGGACTGCTTATGCAGCTGGTATACTACTGCAACTCTGCCAGTGCTTGCAGAGTACAGACGCTACAGGTTAGCATATCTTCTGGCAGGTTCTCAAGATGCACGACATTTATCTTCCTTCGGTAACAGAACTAGAACATAATTTTCAAACCAAATGAAAGTTTATCTACTTTCACTTCTACTTAAAAGAAGATTTTTATCTAAAAATCTTACTGTGAATACTCTCAGAAGTCTTGCTACTGAAACATGTTTCTTCTGTTGGAAAGTACAAAATACCAACTATCTTATGTTGGGACAGGAACTGATGAAAAACTGAAAATGTCAAATGGAGTGGGTAACAGCATCATTCAGCTGTGTGACAATGTAACTCACATAATGTTTATGGACATGGGATATGCATTATATGGATGTACTATATGCTACGTTTGCAAAATACTAAAAAACTGCTAACAACA